ATTAGTTATCTTGGCCAATGCTTTAATGTTTTCTATATTAATATTTTCTATGACATCTTGAACTGATTTGGATATTTTTTTTACAGTATCAACAAAATTGAGTACACCTCCGGGCTGAATAACAGCTTTACCAATGCTTAAAGATAATTCATGAATAGCGAGGAATAACTCTTTTTGTGCAGCATGTTTTCGTTCTTTAAGCCAATCTTCAATTCCTTCTTTAAATTCCTCGAGTGCATTTTCTGTATATTTTTTTTTTTCCTTTTTTTAAAAAAATATTAGGTTCCTTTTCGAAATTATTTATATAAATAATGTAGAGCATACCTGAAGCAAATTCTCTGTTTCTTTCGTTAAATTATGAGCTAATTCAAATCGCTTACTTTCCTTTTCTTTTAAAATTTCATGCATTTGGGTTATGTTATGGTCCAGTAACTTATAATTTAACTCCTTTATCTTTTGTTTATTATTATATTCGTGTTTTAGAACATCCTTATATTCGTTTTCATAACCTTTTGCAAATTTCATCAACTTACAAATTTGATTTTCGTAATTTTCCATATTAAGTCGTGGAACAAAAATAAATTCTCTTTTCTCTCTTTCAATGAAGGAATTAAGATGAGATGGTTAAGCATTTTTAATGCACGATAATATAATTTTTTTGTCATTTCAAATTCCTTTTCTTCTTTGTATTTGACTTGTTCATTTATTTTAATAATCCATTCGAGAATTGAACGTGTAACTTTGCGATTATCATAAAATAAAGCGACTGCAATTTGTAGAGAAAATCGCAATATTTTCGAGAACTGCTTTTTTTGAAGAATTATGCTATCGAAATTAGGTATATTTTTAATTTCTCCGCTATGTAGAAAAATCAATCCACCAATGTTTGGACTACTAATTTTAAATTTTAGTGGATGCTTATCTTCGTTTTTAATAATAAGATCAGATGGCATCTCCATAGTATATATCAATAATTGAAAGCGATTCTCTTCCTTGTATTTAATAAATATTTGACAATCTTGTTTTACT